TCCCAAACTTCTCCAATTGCCTTTAAGTAATGCTTTAAAAGGAATTCTAGAGTAGCAGAACCCACAAAAGGATGTAGTGAAACAATTTTCCAAGCCAAGACAACTTAGACGGTCAGCAGAAAAGGTTTGTTGCACCAGGGTGAGAGTGGAGTGCAAACCAGCACAGACTGGGCCTCAGCAAATGAGGAGCAGGACGTGGAGGTGACCAGCAGTGGTGGTTTTCAGACCTCTTAGCCCACAGATGGTAAGGGGTTAAGACAACTGGTCAAAAGGAGATTACAGGGGTCCCTTGGCTGGCACTGGGTGCAGGACTCTGTTGCATTGCCCATACTTGGACCTGGGTCACAGTCCCAGGTATCAGTCTCAGGGCAAAGAGAAGCACTTGCACACTAGAGTTTGTGGCCACAGGGGAGCCAGGACCTGGTCACAGTTCCAGGGTGGAAAACACAGACCAGTGCACAGTACAGGAGAGTAATAAACACACCTCTCCCTAGATCATACCAACTTGGAAGAACCAAAAACTTATAGGTCCCCAGAATTACCTCTAAAACTATCTCTAAAAACAGCTGCACAACAAAACCCAAAGCTTTGGACAGTGTCCCCTCCATTCGAGAAGCAGGGCCCCACTTTAGCATAGAGTTAAAAGTCAACAAATAGGCTGAAAAATTAACAAACAGCAGAAAAAGATCCTGACTATAGAAAGTTACTGGGGCAGCTAGGTGGTACAGTGGATAGAGCACTGGCCCTGGATTCAGGAGGACCTGAGTTCAAATCTGGCCTCAGACACATAACACTCACTAGCTGTATGACTCCGGGCAAGTCACTTAACCCCAATTGCCTCAAAAAAAAAAAGTTACTATGGTGACAGGGAAGATCAAAACAGAAACTCAGAAGAATAGAACAAAGTCAAGATTCTTACATTCAAAGCCTCAAAGAAAAACATGAATTGGCCCTAGGCCATGGGAGAACTCAAAAAAAGATTTTAAAAGTCAAGTAATAGAGGTAGAAGAAAAATTATTAAGAGATATGAGAGTGATGCAAGAAAATCATGAAAAAAGAATCAACAGCTTGGTAAAAGAAGCAAAAAAAAAAAAAAAATACTGAAGAAAACATCACCTTAAAAGAACAGAACAGGCCAAATCTAAAACAAGCACAAAAATCCAATGAAGAAAAGAATGCCTTGATAAGCAGAATTGGCCAATGGAAAAGGAGATACAAAAGCTCACTGAAGAAAATAATGCCTTAGAAATTAGAATTGGGCAAGTGGAAGCTAATGACTTTATGAGACATCAAGAAACAATAAAACAAAATCAAAAGAATGAGAAAAATAGAAGACAATGTAAAATATCTCATTGGGAAAACAACTGATCTGGAAGATAGATCAAGTAGATATATTGTTAAAAATTATTAGATTATCTGAAAGCCATGATCAAAAAAAGAGCCTAGACATCATCATTCAAGAAATTTTCAAGGAAAACTGCCCTGATGTTTTAGAACCAGAGGGTAAAATAAAAATTGAAAGAATCTACCAATCACCTCCTAAAGGAGATTCCCCAAAGAAAAATTCCTAGGAATATTGTAGTCAAATTCCTGAGTTCTCAGGTTAAGGAGTAAATATCACAAGCAGCCAAAAAGAAAAAATTCAAATATTGTGGAGTCACAGTCAGGATAACACAAGATTTAACAGCTTCCAAGTTAAAGGATTGGAGGGCTTGGATTGTGACATTCTGGAGGGCAAAAAAGCTAGGATTACAACCAAGAATCATCTATCCAGCAAAACTGAGTATAATCCTTCAGAGGGAGAAAATAGATATTCGATGAAAAAGAAGACTTTCAAGCACTTCTGATGAAAAGACCAGAGCTGAATAGAACACTTGACTTTCAAATGCAAGACTCAAAAGAAGCATAAAAAGGTAAACAGGAAAGAGAAATCATGAGGTATTCAATAAGGTTAAAATGTTTACATTCCTATATGGGAAAATGAAACTTACAACTCCTAAAAACTTTCTCATTATTAGGGCAGTTAGAAGGAGTGCACATAGAAAGCACGATGTGAATTGAATATGATGGGATGATTATCTTAAAAAAAATTAAAAGGTGAAAAAGAAGAATACAATGGGAGAAGGGGAAAGGTAACAATAGAATGCGGTAAATTATCTGGCATAAAAGAGGTCCAAAAGAGATTTTGCCATGGAGGGGAGTCCATGAACCATACTCTCATCAGAACTGACTCAAAGAGGGAATAGTATAAATACTCAGTTGAGTGTAGAAATCTATCTTAGTATATAGGAAAGTAGAAAGGGAAGGGGATAAGAAAAGGGGGGTTAATAAAAGGGAGGGCACATTGGGGAAGGTAAAAATCAGAAGCAAAACACTTTTGAGAATGGACAGAGTGAAAGGAGAGAGTAGGATAAACAGGGGGGAAATAGGATGGAGGGAAATACATAGTAATCATTACTGTGAAAAAAAATTTACAGCAAGTTTCTCTGATAAAGACCTCATTTCTTAAATATGTAGAAAACTGAGTCAAATTTATAGAAATATGATCCATTCCTCAATTGATACATGGTCAAATGATATGAACAGACAGTTTTCAGACAAAGTAATCAAAACTATTTATAGTCATATGAAAAAAATGCTCTAAATCACTACTGATTAGAGAAATGCAAATTAAAACAACTTTGAGCTACCACCACATACCAATAAGATTGGCTAATATGACAAAAAAAGAAAATGACAAATGTTAGAGGAGGTGTGGGAAAATTAACACACTAATGCCCTGTTGGTAAAGTTGAATATTGATTAATCCAAACATTCTGGAGAGCAATTTGGAAGTATGCCCAAAGGGCTGTAAAATCATGCATACCTTTTAATTCAGCAATACCACTACTAGGTGTGTATTCCAAAGAGATTTAAAAAAAAAAAAGGAAAAGAACATATAGGTACAAAAATATTTGTAGCAGCTCTTTTCATGGTGGCAAAGAATTGGAAATTGAGAGGATGTCCACCAACTGGGGAAATGGCTGAAATGTTGTATATGATTGTGATGAAACACTATTATGTTATAAGAAATGATAATTGGGATGCTCTCAGAAAAAACTAGAAAGAATTACATGGACTGATGCAAAGTGGAATGAGCAGAACCAGAAGAACATTGTACACAGTAACAGCAATATTGTATGATGATCTACTGTGAATAGCTTAGCTATTGTCAGCAATACAATGATTCAAGACAATTCTGAAGGCCTTATAATGAAAGGTGCTGGCCCTCTCCAAACAAAGAACTGGTGGACCCTGAATGCAGATCAAAGATACCTTTCCTTTATTTTTCTTGGGTTTTTTGTCTGTTTTCTTTCACAGCATGGCTTACACAGAAATGGGTTTTGCATGACTACCCACATAACCTATGTCAAATTGCTTGGCAAATTTAGTTGATAAATATTTTGTGTGTTTTGATGATTCCATCTACCAGCCATTTTCTCCCTACCTCTTCTCAGGCTTCCCTATTCCCTGAGACGCAACAATATTGACATTAGGCCAATTAATAACCCTACAATGGCTTCTAAGAGTTCAACTGAAAGGAAAAGCCAATGGGTGGAGCAAACTTCATTGTTGTCTTATTTAAGAAATCGCCACACTCATCCCAACATTCAGCAACCACCACCTTTATCGTTCAGTAGCCATCAACACTGAGGCAAGACCTTATACCAGCAAAAAGATTATGACTCATCAAAGGCTCAGATGATGGTTAGCATTTTTTACAATACAGGATTTTTTTAGTTAGAGTATGTACCTTGTTTTTAGACATAACACTATTGTATACTTAATAGACTACATTATAGCATAACTTTTATATGCACTGGGAAAGAAGAAAATTCATATGACTCACTTTATTGTAAGACTCACTTTATTCTTCGTGATCTGGAACCGAACTCTCAGTATCTCCAAGGTATGCCCATACACAGTCCCACCTTCCTTCATTAAACTCTCTGCACACTCATTCACCTTACAGCATTTGATCATACATTCATTGCCTCATATTGACATTCACTAGTTTCATGATGATACAACCTGTATCTCCATGTAAGTTTTAAAATCCATGAAAGTAGAAAGTATGTTTCATGTTTCTTTTGTACCCCTAATACCATGTAGTACTGTCCTGATCATACAATAGGTATTCAATAAATATATATTAAATTATATAAGAGATGCTTTGAATCCTATGAGAAAAAAGGCTAGATACTCATATGTACCCCATCTCTTATCATGTGTTATTAGGGAATTTGGGAAAGGTTTTCCTATGTTTAAAGAGAAGGGTGAAAGGACTTAAAAGACATTTGTAGGATAAATGAACTATATAGAGTTCAATTTTCCCTGAAATGCTTTCTGCCAGTAAAATGAACAAAATAGATTAAGTGCTTTATTTTTTTAATAGAAAGGTATTATTATCTGGTCAACAATCAGACAAAACATGTTCAGCTCTTTTACCTAAAACACTATTATTGCTTAAGAAGACACAATCCCAAGCAGTAGGTTTAAAATCATAAATATGGAAAGTTTCCCTCAAAATTATCTTATATCCCTATTATGTATATGTGTTTTATATACCTTTATATCTATATGCTGGTTTCCCTAGCTACGTGGTAAGCTCCTTGAGAGCAAAGACTATTTTCACCCTTTTCTTTGCATTTTTATTTGGGCCTAGCATATAGAATGTACTTAATAAATGCTTACTGATAGATTGATTACAGTAGAAAACTAATTAGTAATGTCTCTTAATTATGCCACTGCAACTATGTCAAAATTTAATGCTGTCATCAACAAATGCTTTCTGAATATTCTTGAGTTATCTAACAAGGCACCTGATACTATTTTTTTTTACTGACATCAAAATTGTTTTATGTGAAGAAGCAAAGTCTTACATAATAATAATAATAATAATAACAATAATAACAATCCATTCATGATTAAAGATTTGTTCCTAAAAGCATATTACTTACCACTCTGTCATCTCCAGGAGCTTCTGTGTTTGATATAATTAAATTTTGCTGAGCCATATCATCAGGAAAAGGTTTTTTTACTTTTGAGGGACTCCAAATTCCACAGACTAAGGTGAATAAGACACCTAGGTGAGGAATAGAATCATTTGAGTTTAATATGCAAAGCAGGAAATACAGGGTATGTATAGTGATTATTTGTTCAGCTGATTATTTTAGATCCTTGGATCAATTCTTCATTTTTCTACTTGTGGATTAACTGGATATAATTGAAGAATATCATCAAGTGCATTCTTTTTTTTTTTTTTTTTTGGCTAGGCAATGGGGTTAAGTGACTTGCCCAGGGTCACACAGCTAGTAAGTGTTATGTGTCTGAGGCCACATTTGAACTCAGTTCCTCCTGAATACAGGGCCAGTGCTCTATCCACTGCGCCACCTAGCTGCCCCTTCAAGTGGGTTTTAAGTGGTTTCTTTCAGCCACTCCAAATTGACCAAACACAAGCTAACTCAGGTTTCAAAATCAGTAGTCCAATGTATTTACACAAATTTAAGCATTCTCTCATAGAACCAAAGTCTAATAGAACCCCCACAAGAAAAAGGATATAAACTTAGGGCAGCATATAAAATTTACACTCTTCACAATATCTATTTAGGGAAGAGATTTTTTTCCTCCAAATATCCTAATGAATACAAAAAGTATAAATTGTTCTTATGCATACAAGGCAAAGAAAGATCATTCTATCCTGAATAAATGCTCTTGATCTATCTCTTGATGGAAAACACTGCATCTTTTCTCCACTGTTAGAGATTTAAGTTCTATGTTAAATCTTTATATGGCTGCAAAATACAAAAGGATCAAATTATACATTTCTATTAATACATAGTGTCCCTAAAGTTTTAATGCATTTTAAAGCTTTAATAGCATAAATATGCACTAAGACTTTTGTGATACCCTATACATAGGTGATATATACTCACATTAAAAAAATTGTAATTGCTTTTCATGGAGTCTTACTCTGATGCCTCCATGTGGTGTAAGATAAAACTAGGATCTCAAAGAATAGGAAAATAGAGCTTAATCTCTGACAGATTGTACTATTCTGGAGAGTCTTCAAGTAGAGACCTGACAATGGTCTGAGTTCTGCATTCTGAGGACCAACCCAGCTAAACAGAGAACAGGTTATCATCAAGTAAGCTGACTACTTAGTGATAATTTTTTTTTGCTATAGCAGTGAAACAAAGAAAAACAAATTATATTTATGCATATGTATATGTATCCCCATGTATAGAACTCAATATAAGCAAAGGGAAAGTGATAACATTTTGGGGGGCCTTATATAATGGTGATTTTCATACTAGTTCCTAAATATTAGTATAAAAGATATTTACTTAAAAGTTGTACAGTGGAAAGAGGAGGAGCCTTGCAATTAGAAGCCCTGGACTCAATCCTCAGCTCTATCACTTGCTAGCAGCCTGACCTTTAGAAAGTCACCATTTGTATAAGGCCTAGATTTATCATTGATAAAAATGGTATGATATCTCCCTCACAGGGTTGCTATGAGGAAGATAATTTGTAAAATATAAAGCCCTGTATTCTGATAGTATGTCATTGTCACAGAATCCCTGGGTTTGAAGGAATCTCAGAGACCATCTAGTCCAACCAGCATCATTATTATGTTCAACTAAACAAAAAGACTTACAAAATAGTAATGCTACACCCAACAATATTGCAAGGATGGCCCATGCGCCCAGTCTTGTGTCTGGATACACTGCTTTCTCAAATTTACATTGTTCTGGATGAATACAATCACAGAGATTAACATGCAACATCTTTGTTGAAGACATTCCGTGTCTATCACTCACAGTGATAGGTATGGAATATTTTCCAAATTGAGCATTATTCTGGTATGAAAGATGTGCAGATGTATCTGAAAGAAAATAAAAAGCCACAGTTACATTCTAAGTTACATTCACTGTTGCTCATCCTTTTATCACTCTATATTTTTCATCACAATTGTCTATAATCACACCCCTGTTGAGCTATGTGTCATCGTTCAATGACTTTTATTGAGGGTTTAACCTGTATAAATCATTTTTCTAGGCAATAAGATATAGAGAGGAGAATAAGGCACAGTCTCTGCCTGCAGGGAGTTTAGACTCTAAGAAGAGAAATGAAACAAAGGCAAAAATAACAGTAATACAAAATAAAGTATGCCAGGTACATAGGAGAGGTGCAAATAAATAAGCCTTAGGAGAAATTCAAGAAACTTCTGGCCAGTGGTAGGTCACAAAAAAATTCCATGGAGAAAATGGTAATTGAGCTGGTCCACTAAAAATACATAGTTTTTCCAATAGGTAAACATTAGGGATGGGGAAGAGGAGTGAGAGAATTGTTTTTGAGGCATACAAAATTTGATGAACATTGAATGGAGGTAGAAAATGAGAGGATGAAGTGAGGATAAGTGATTCATGCAGTTTGCCAGGAAAGACTATGTGAAAGGATTGTCTGAGATAAGTCTAAAAAGGTGGACTGGACCTGGATTACAAGAATGTCTACAATATGACACTAAGAAATTTAGTCATTATTGGGTAGATAATTGAGAACCATGAGCAAAAGAATGATACAATAAAAACTATTTTAGTTAAATTTCCATAATTGCTTAAATCATAATATAACTATCTTTACCTAGAACTCTAGCTACAAATAACTGCAAACAAAACAGTTTTATTTGTACTGATCAGCGTATCTTTCTATAGAACATCTCTGTGAAAATCTACTACTAAACCCAAAATAACAATATTCCACCAGTATTTATCTCTAGAACAATCTGTAATTTTCAGCATATGTTTAGAGAAATTAACTAAAATACTTAGTACCTTTCACTTTTTGAAAGTGTGCCACCAAAAACTGCATAAGTTGCTATTATATTCACATATTATGGCAAACATATTTTACTTTTCTAGATAACTTAATATTAGAAAAATGACTACACTTCAGAGCTTCATTTTTCAAAGCTTCATTCTCACATGATGAACACATACAGACATACACATGTGGGTTCATATGTATTTTGATATGTAGACACAGTTGACATTATCAAGGCTAGTTGTGATGTTGAGAACTCTGGTTTTATGCCATTAGAGAACTATAGCATCATATATTTGTTATCATCAATTTGTTATCAAGAATTTCACTCTAGATTATTCACTCATTCATTACCTATAACTAAAAGATTCACAGGTTTCCATGAAATAGCTTTGTGATATTTTGGGTAACTCAGAAATAAATCATCAGAAACAATTTAAGTATAATTCTTCATTCTGTACTACTGATAATGATTTTAGAGATAGGCTGATATAGAATGACAACTAACATTAAATAAGGGCAATAAAGTGGTTTACTACCTTGGAAAGTGATTAACAACTAATTCTTGCCACTGGTTAAGTTCTAAAAGAACTGGAGGTTTAGGCAGAAACTATTGCAAAAATTTTAGCTGTGGCTGATATTCTAAGAAAAAACAAAGAATTTTAGCATTTACATGGATTAGGAGGTTATCAAGTTCAACCCATATCTGAATAACAAAATTTTCCACAAAATCCCTGACAAGTACTAAGTCAAATCTTCAAATCACTAGTGCTAGGAAACTTCCTGAGGCAACCCATTCTACTTTAAGACAGCTCATATTTTTAGGAGGTTTTCCTTGACACTTAACAAAAATTATCCATGGAAACTTCTACCCATTGCTCCTAATTGTGTTCTCTGAGGCCAAGGGTGGGGTGGGGAACAAGTCTAATCCGTCTTTCATATAACAGTACCTCAAACACCAAAACAAGAATTCATTTTTCCCTCTACAGCCTATCCTCTTTCTATCTTTTCTATTACTGCTAAGACCACCATTATTTCAGCACACAATCAGTTACCTAGGTGTCAGCCTTGACTCTCCATACTCAAACTCATACTCAATCCATTATCAAATCTTGTCATTTCTACCTTCATGATGTCTCCTGTACGTCCTGTCATTTGCACTCATACAGACAAAACCCTGGTGCTTCATCATCTTACATTAACTATTGTTATGGGGACCAAGGACACTGGTGGGGGAAGGGGCAGGAAATGCATCATCACTCCCCCCACACCTTTTCCTTTCTCTCGCCGTCGCCTCCTTACAGACCCGTCTACGGACCCCAAACGAAACCATCCACCGTTGGGGGAGCCTTCTCCATCACCCTTCCCCCAGGGGCTCTGGACTGATTTCCAGCCTGTACCGGACAACCAGTGAGTTTTCTGCCATCGCAGGACAGAGCAGAGTGTCCTCAAGGAACTCCTGGAGCTGCAGTGCAGGAGCACGTGCAAGGAGAAGCGGCAGGGCGGTACCACTTCTAGGCTGTGGGAGAGGTGCAAGGGTCAGGGGGCGAGCAAGTAGAGGCTGTGCAGCCCCTCTCCTCCCACACTCAGCCCCTTTGGGGCTGCCAGGATGCCTGGGTCCCCTGCGGCCAGCAGCGTATGGCCAAGGAAAATGAGGCGAATGAAAAGGATTTGATCTTACACCTGGCCCTGTTCCGATTGCCCCAGTATGGGACTGACCTTCTGCTGACCTTCACGAGCCTATCTCTGGGAGTAGGTCAACCCATGGACATGAAGCCCAGGGCCTCCCACCCTGGACCCTGGTTGATTTTGAAAGGCTAGTGACTTCCCTGACTCTTCTTGACCCCAGCATCTTTGGTCCCCAGGAAAGATCATGAACTGCCCTCTGCTGCTGGTGTCTGAATGTCTGGATTCCCCAACAGAAGCAAGGGGTTGATGGCTGGGGTTTCCCCCATATCTCTGCTCCATATAGAGACATAAGGCACCGCCTTTGCAGAAATAAACTTGCTTTATACACACACACACAAAAAAAACCAAAAACAAAAACAAAACTATTGCAATGGACCTCTGGTTGATTTCCCTGCCTCAAATCTTTCCCCACTTTAACCTATCTTCTACTCAGAAGCCCAAGTTTAGTTCTGAACATACATCTGTGTGTGTGTGTGTGTCTGTGTCTCTGTCTCTGTCTCTCTCCTATATGTTTCCTGAGACCAGAATCTGTGTTGTACCTCTCTTTATACCCCATGTGCTTACAACACATCAGGCTTCTAGTAAGCATGAAATTGAGTTGCAGATCATGTACCATTCAATCTGGTGATTGTCCACATTTTCTGGATTTCAGGAGAACCTAATTTGAAATCAAATGGAGGCCCATTCATGGGATCATCAGGATCAACAGCAACGACCGTTGTATGTCCCATCTTTGGTTTGCAAAGTACAATATTCTCTTCAAGGATGATTGGAGCATTGTCATTCACATCTTCAAGGATAATTCCAAGGGTACCAGTACATGTTTTACCATCTGGGAAAATTGGAGAAAATTTCAATGTAGCTTTTACTCTTTTATTCATTCCTGGTGGTAATCAGTTACATTCAATTTCAAATCCTAATCACCTAGAATCTTAAATATTTTATTTCATCTGGGAGCTTGTATTCCTCCCCCTTCCTACTCTCAATTTTATGTTATGCAGCTATTTGTGTCTCTACAGAGTAACAAGGCTTTATGAAAAGAAACAAAGACTTAGATGACAATGCAAATAAACACAATTATATAAACTTAAAATATATCATTTGAGTTGACCACTATTCTAAACCACTTCAACTTTTACCACTGGAATAGCTACTTTCTGATTGAGTGGTGAAGGAAACTAGCAAGGACATTATAGCAATATATCACAAGGATCATACACTATAATGAGTTGGAGTTTACATCAGGAATGCAGGACTAGTTCAATATTAGGAAAACTATCAGCGTAATTGACCATATCAATAACAAAACCAACAGAAATCATATGATTATCTCAACAGATGCAAAAAAAGCCTTTGAGAAAATACAACACCTATTCCTATTAAAAACACAAGAGAATATAGGAATAAATGGAGCTTGCCTAAAAATGATAAGTAATATTTATCTAAACGCATCAGCAAGCATTACTTGTAATGGAAATAAACTGGAAGCCTTCTTAATAAAATCAGGGGTGAAGCAAGGATGTCCATTATCACCACTATTATTCAATATTGTACTAGAAATGCTAGCTATAACAATAGGAGAAGAAAAAGAAATTGAAGAAATTAGAAGAGGAAATGAGGAAATAAAACTATTATTCTTTGGAGATGATATGATGGTATACTTAGCGAATCCTAGGGAATCAACTAAAAAAAAACTACTTGAAATAATTAACAACTTTAGCAACTTTGCAGGACACAAAATAAACCCACTTAAATCATCAGCCTTTCTATATATTACAAAGTTCAGAAGTAAGAAACAGACAGAGAAATTCCATTTAAAATAACTATAGACAATATAAAATACTTGGGAGGCTACCTGCCAAGACAAGTCCAAGAACTACATGAACATAATTACAAAACTTTTTTTACAAAAGTCAGATCTAAACATTTAGGGAAAAAGTAATAATTGTTCAGAGGTAGACCAAGACAATATAATAAAACTAACAACTCTGTCTAAATTAATCTACTTATTCAGTGCCATACCAACCAAACTACCAAAAAATTACTTTATGGAGCTAGAAAAAATAATAACAAAATTCATCTGGAAGAACAAAAAGTCAAGAATATCAAGGGAACCAATTAAAAATGTTAAATAAGGTGGCCTAGCAATACCTAGCAAAACAAGCTGGTATGGGCTAAGAAAGAGAGTGGTGGATTAGTGGAATAGATTACATACACAATACACAATAGTAAATGACCATAGTAATCTAGTGTTTGATAAACCCAAAGACCCAAGCTTTTGAGACAAAAACTCATTATTTGACAAAAAATTGCTGGGAAAACTGGAAAAGAATATGGCAGAAACCAAGTATAGCCCAACATCTCACACTGTATACTAAGTTAAAGTTAATATGTGTATATGATTTAGACATAAAGGGTGATAAGCAAATTAGCAGAGCATGGAATAGTGTACTAATCAGATCTATAGATAAGACTTAGGACCAAACAAGATACAGAGAGCATTACAAAATGTAAAATGGATCATTTTGATTATATAAAATTTAAAAGTTTTTGCACAAACATAACTAATGCGACCAAAATTAGAAGGAAAGCAGAAAACTGGGATGAAAATTTTTACAGCAAGTGTCTCTGATAAAGGACTTACCTCTCAAATAAGTAGAGAGCTGAGTCAAATTTATAAGAATGCAAGTCATTGCCTAATTGATAAATAGTCAAAGGATATGAATAGGCAGTTTTTTAAACAAAGAAAGCAAAGCTCTCTATAGTCATATTAAAAAAAATACTCTAAACCAGTATTAATTAGAGAAATGCAAATTAAAACAACTCTGAGGTACCACCTCATACCTTTCAGATTGCCTAATATGATAGAAAAGGAAAATGATAAATGCTGAAGGGGATATGGGAAAACTGAGACACATGCACTATTAGTGATGTTGTGAACTGATCTAATCACTCTGGAGAACAATTTGGAACTATGCACAAAGAGCTATAAAGCTGTGCATATCCTTTGATCCAATACCACTTCTAGGTCTATATCCCAAAGACATTTTTAAAAAAAGGGAAAAGGACTTATCCGTACAAAAATATTTATAGCAGTTCTTTTCTTGGTAGCTAAGAATTGAAAATTGAGGGGATGCCCATTAATTGGGGAATGGTTGAACAAGTTGTGGTATATGATTGTAATGGAATAAAATTGTGCTATAAGAAATGACAAGTAGAATGGCTTAAAAAAAGAAAAAAACCCTGGAAAGATGTGTACGTAAACTGATACAAAGTGAAGTGATCATAACCAGAAAAAACATTGTATATAGTACAATGAAGAATTATAAATGACTTGGCTATTTTCAGCAGTACAAGGATCCAAGACAATCCCAAAGAACTCATGACGAAAAATGCAATTCAACTTCAAGAAAGAACATAGGTTGTCTGAATACATTCTGAAGTATACTGTTTTTCTCTCTTTCTTTCTCTTTCTTTTCCTTCTTTCTTTCCTTCTTTTTTTTCTTTTTGGGTCTTCTTGCACAAAATGACTAACATGGAAATGTTTTACATGATTGCACATGTATAATCTGTATCAGATTGCCTACTCCCTCAGGGAGGAGGGAGGGAGGGATAGAATTTGAAACTCAAAACTTTAAAAAAATGAATGTAAAAATTATTTTACATATAATTGGGGGAAAATATTTTAAAAGAGTTTTGAATGAATACAAGCACATTTGGGGAATTAGAGGGAATGACCCTATAATTCAAAATTCTAGTTTGAGCCTACCCATATTCCCCCCCACAAAAAAAAATCCTCTTTTTGTCAAAACTTATTAAAGGCAATACTGAAGCTTATTTTGATCACTTTGTTCTGTTTTTTCCATTTCTACAAGCATTGTTAATAGGCACTTAAATGATCAACAGGAAGCCCATAGCCAAACGGTGCCCTGGAAAAGCAAGTGATTTTAAAGATTAGTCTATAGCTGACCATTACCCTGAATAGGTGAAACCTCATTTAGGATAATAACAATCTAAAAAGGTCTGCAAAGTAGTTAATTAACTACTATGAATACTATATTCTCTCTTCACCTTGCTAGTAAAAGGTCTGCAAAGTAGTTAATTAACTACTATGAATACTATATTCTCTCTTCACCTTGCTAGTCTACTGAGATACAAATTACTTCCACATACTGTATAAAAGATACATTTATATAGTAATTCATTTCATAGGAGTAGAAGTACAGTATAAAAGCCCAGGATAAGTTTTAAATAATGTCAGGGATGGGAGTAGGAGAGGAAAAAAAGGAGAAGATGGCATAGCTTCTATGGTGAAGTCATAGCTTTGGAAATAATAAATGGTTTAGAGTTATGTCTCCTTATTTCCTTTTATCTCTTTTAATATAATACATGTAAAATGATGTATAAAATGTAAAACATTATATGGTGGTTAACTATAAAACATGTCAGGATATGCATTATTATCAACACTTTTAAATGTGGGAAAATGTACATTTAAACTGCAATGTTCTTTTATTTTCAGTAGATAACAAGTTGATAGAAGATGTTTCCCCACTCTGAAATTCATTATACCAATGAAGTCATAGATCCGGTCCCTACCCAGCTGCTGTCTCTATTCAACAAGTTAGTAGAATATCTGCTAAGAAATATGAGCAGTCTTCTCATCTTGAGTCTTTAGTTTAACTACACCTTTCATCCATAATCATGAGAAAGAACATTCTAAAGTAGTGTTTCTTAACCTAGGTCTACAGAACCATAGGTAGATTTCAAGGTGTATGGGGGATGGGGAGGAGCTTGGACTTGGATCAGAAAAAAAAAAATTACATCTTTATTTTCACTGACCATTGGTTTTCTTTGTAATCCTTTGCATTTTATTTTGTGCATTTAAAAACACTATTCTAACAAGGGGTCCATAGGCTTCACTGTATTAATAAAGAAGGTCTATGACACACAAAAAGGTTAAGAATCTCTGTTAGGATGAAACCAGCCAGTAAACAATTAAGTGCAAAGCATTACATAGGACAATAGATAGCAATTTTCTTACTATCTTCTTGTCTGAAAAGTGTATGTTCTACCAGAAAGAAGATACCCTTGCAACTTAGTTCATTGGCCAAAGTATAGAGAGAAAAAGCACTACAAGCTTTTAAAATACAGCTAATTAAAAGGAGAAAACTTTTTAAGCTAAAAAATTCCTGTTTTCATTTCAAAAAGAAGTGGCTTTATAAATCAATGAATCAATTAATATTTCTTAAGCCCCTACAATGGGCAAGGCATTGTGCTAAGCACTGGGGATACAGAAAGTGGCAAAAGACAGTCCCTACTGTCAGAGAGCGTGCAATCTAATAAGAAAGACATGTTACCAAATATATACAAAGCAAGAACACTAAATCTAAAATTTTAGTACAATTCATATTTTTATTCTTTATCTTCATCAAATGTAATTGTTTATATAATGTTTGTTTTCAAATAATCCCACTATCAACATATAAAATGTTTTACTTGGGGGGAGGGTGATAATTTTTATAAGGATCAGAAAGAAAAAAAATGGATTATATGTTCATTTAGAAAACAAAAGCTAAAAAAAAAGAATCAAGCCCTGGTTTGCTTTTCCTAATCATGTAATGTTTTTACTGTGTTAATGAAAATAAAATCAACTCCACTGATATTTGATGTTAAACTACTTCATCACTTTCAGGAGCCTTGCTTTCATCCAAATGATTCCTCCCTCCATACAAATAGCAATTTCTCTCCCTCTCTTTCTCCCAGGAAGAGACTCACTGAATGCCCAGGACTCTGGGCCTTAGTTTCATCATCTATAAAATGTAGGAGTTTGACTATGACCAAGGATGACAAAAGATTTCTTATTCCAAAATGTCTGTCTTAGATTAACGATGACAACATATGCCTTTCCTCAACACTTGCCAATTGAAGAGAAGAAAAGGTAGTCTCAAAATATATGAGATAGTTCCCTAGGAATATTACACATATATGTGTGTGTATGTGTATATACACGCATATACATATATATACACAGTAATATAATGCATTACATGTATGTGTATATGCACATATGTGTGTATATCTTATATATGTTATACATATATGCTACATATACCTAATACATATTTTGAAATTCAATACATATTTTGAATGTTATTACATATTTCCCTAAGCTAATCCAAAAGAGAGGGCAGTTAGGTGACACAGTAGATAGAGTGCTAGGCCTGGACTCTTCCTGAGTCCAAATCTAACCTTAGACATTGACTATGTGATCTTGGGCAACTCATTTACCCCTGTTGACCTCAATTTTCTCATCTGTAAAATGAACTAGAGAAGGAAATGGCAAACCACTCCAGTATCTTTGCCAAGAAAATTCTACATAGGGTCATGAAGAATCAGGTATGACTGAAAATGACTGAGCAACAACAAGAATCTAAAAGATGAACAATCTACACACAGATCATATTTTATCATATAAATCTTAGATGGGATATTTAATAGGGATAAAATTCAGCATGTAAGTTGGAAATAATGAGAAAAAGCTACTCGTACATTATCATATCATATCATACCATATCATAGATAGTAAAGTATATAAATCCTAACTGGAAATCAATAATAAAAAGGAGTATACTAAGACTCAAATACACTTTGGATACCTGAGTTATAGCATCACTCTATGGTGATTCCTTTGCAATATTATAAATATCTCACCTTTGTCTGTTGCAAGCACTGTAATGCTGTATACACCATTTTTAACGACCTCTGCTTCTCTGTCCAATTTTTTGGAAGTTATTATTGACCCTGAAGTTTCATCAATGGTGACCCATCCTTTGGGATCATTTAATTTCTTATACCTATTAATAAGGAATAAAAAAATTTCATAAAACTCAAAAACTTGAAACATTCCAAAATATAATATTGCTACTAAATTGCTTTCCTATTCCATTTTACAAAAACATGGAAAGTATAATGGTGTTACTGGTGAAGCTGGGAGGAGAAGGCATGATGAAGATGGGCCTGAGAAGCACCCCAGCATATCAGCAAGGACAGGGACAGAGAATTAAAGGGACCATCATAAAAGACAGACGCTTCGGGGAGACAGGTTGTGGCAAATTGAGTGATTGGTTCTTCTAAACTATGTGTCACCTCATCCAGAACTGACTTTGAAGTTTGATTCTCTCTGTCCCTATAATTAATTGGTTTCTGAAGTTTGATTCTCTCTGTCCCTATAATTAATTGGTTTCACACCCACAACCCACCCATCTGAGATCTGGGTTCTTTGAACAAACCTTGGTTAGGGACCAAACCCAGCCTCTTGCTTTATACTTGCTTGGCTCTCCATTTAGAAATCACCTTTGTCCTCTGGAGGAGTATTGCTCCTCTGCCCAAGTCTTTTACTAATCTCTGGCACATAACAGCCAGCCTTCCCCAGGTTGGGATACCATACTTTGTCTGACTCTGTACCTGAAGCTGTCAATGGCAGAGCTACTTGCTAGTCCCTTATCTGGGAGACTCCAGAGCTATGACAAAATTTGACCCAAACACCAGAATAATTCACTATTTTGTGAGGTGCATTTGCTACTGGTCCAGGAAGACAGAAGTAAAATTTTAGTTAAGACAGAGGGTTGAGTCAGTAGACCTTAGATCTACACAGCACTAGAAACTCCCTTACGTTCTTCCATTGAGCAGACAATGGATCTCCCAAGGCTTCTAGGCCAGTGAAAGATTCTCATGGACCCCCTAAGGAGCCCAAAGGTGACCTTTGTGGGTATCCTGACTAGCAGAGTAGGTTTTCTTCTGAGTCACTCTCTACCTGACTGAATTACCACCCTCTTCAAACCTTGTACAATGTGGACAGATTTCTTTAGAAGTTCAAAGGGAGTAGTGTGCCCTTTATCATCTTAGAGTTAAAACTACCAACCAGCAGATTTATTGGCTTCAGTAGGGACACTTTGCTTCTAGGCCTTAAGGTCTGCTGGTCAGAAAATAACTTTTATTCATGAAAGGAGATATATTCATGGCCTACCTTGACTGCTACTACTACTCCTAATAATAATAGCTAACATTTATATATCACTTACTATGTGCCAGGCACTGTACTAAGCACTTTACAAAATTATTATCTCATTTGATCCTAACAACAGTCCTGGAAGGTACATACTATTACTGTCACCATTTTGCAGATGAGGAAACTAAGTCTAATAAGAAGTTACAGACTTGTTCAGGATCACATAGCTAGGATGTATCTGAGGCAGGATTTGCCCTTACTCTAAATCTAGCACTCTATCTTCACTGTGCCATGACAACCCAGAGCAATTTCAGACCTCCTCATAGCTCCACCAACGCCAGATCAGTTGGGCAATACTATCAAGTAGATTCACTTTCACTCTGACTTATGTTCCTGGACCATGAAATGTGAAGGTAGAAGTGCTGTCATGAAAAGCCAGATCCCAGCTGGAGCCTTATTACAGACTATATCCATTAAACCTTAACAAATCTATTAGAGTTTATCTGCTAGAAATTAAGGATACTTATAATTACACTTGGTTATGCAACTTCCAACTGTATATGGATAGGCCATACCTTACGATAACTAATTTTTAATATCTAAAAGGTTCTTATACCTCCACTGTTGCCTTAGATATATCCTGACTAGCGTAAAGTTTTATATTTTCCATGACGGCTAAGTATCAAACCACAGGGATCATTCAAAACATTCTACGTGGTTGTCTATGACTTTAGGTGGCTGAAACAATGACGTAACTAGGTAAATGCAACTGTGGCATGTTAGAACGTCAAACCATTATGTGCCCAGGCCAAGGAACTGGGGGCACAGCTCCAGTTGTTCAAACTGGCTGGGCAGGGGCCAGTCCAGGGGGGATAGTGCTGAGATATCATGCCTTCATGACCCATTTGGAAAGGATTTACTTCTTCACTGCACTTTCCCTATTTTAATTGTCATAAAGGGAACATGAATTGAATCCTGGAAATATCTCTAGTACCACCTTTACTACTTATCAGAATGATTGTTCCACCCCAATTGTTATTAATATCATCTATTCATCTTCTTAAAACATACTCTTCCATAAGAACTATGATTTCCACAATTATTGTCCACCCCATCTACTCTATGCACTGCAGTTCCTAGAGAAGTAGGAAGCCAGACTAACTTACAGCAAGAAAAGTGGTATATAAATGAGAAGCTGACTACTATCACATCCCAAAGAAACCCACAACCAAGTTTGTCTATTTTCCCATAATCTCCACACCATCAGACTTCCCAAAAACTGATATAAAAGGCTGTCTTCTCATCAATCAGGTTCTAATTCCAGGCTCATATTGGCTGTGGTTATTCTCCTCTTTCCATCACCCTTGTCTCTTTGGTCTAGCAAAATCACCTCATTAGTGAAATAAAGTTTTTTGAGGGGAGATTTTTTTTAATCCCCTCATGGCAACGTGTATACCCTTCGTGTCTAGCACAGTAGCTTAAATATAGTAGGTGTTTAATAAATATTTGTTCATTTGAATTCAGGTCCTTGACTGCTACAGTTAATTAGGTAAAGGGTGGAAAAATATATTGTGCAGATGATCATTACCTCACATAGACAGTGGGACCACTTGAGGATTTTGTGGACTGGCAATGGTATAGAACTGAAGAAAGGACATGGAAACCAGCCCACAAAATGTACAAGCCATAGAAAGGGTAGAGACTTTTCCCCCCAAGGCTATCCCAAACCACAGCAAGAAGTTTAGACAGGTATGCTGACTGATGGAATGGTGTATGAGCTCATAGCATTCTTTCAGAGGACGAGTGAAGAGAAAACAAAGCTGACTCTGTCCCTATGACCCAGCTTTCTTATCAGTAAAGGGTAGGGGTGGAAAATGCAAACAGCTGACATAAAAGACTTAAAATCAGGGAGATGACTGTCAGACAAATGGTCAGTTCCTCTGACATGCCCTGTTTGCTGCTTCCTTATCCGATACTAACCTCCCAACCTCAAGTTCCATTCCTAAAACCCGTTTTTCAACTTATTACAGTGCTTGGAATTTCGGAGCTCTGAAGAAACCCTAATAAGGACATAGTTTGACTTTTTATTTTACACTTTCTTGGCTCCTGACCCAGATATTGCCTCTCTCCTCAGTAGGGGATTGCCCTTCCCCAGCCTCAGTGTTTGCCTAAGCCCTGGCCTTTACCCAGGCAGGACATGACACTGTTTATGTAGATAAGGACTTATTTGTACCTTATATCTTTGCTGCTTCTGGTTTCTGTGTCCTGTGCTTTATACCCACTGGCTCTTGTCCCAATGGATACATTTTCCTTGATGCGAACACTTTGTGCTGGTGGGCTGCAATCTGGGCCTTCATCCTGATCTATTACATTTATGGTTACCATAGCTGTGTTCATGCTCCGTATATCTCTAAGGAATGGGGCTTCATTGGTTGCACCAATTTCCAGTATCACCTTGTGATTTTCCTCATAGTTCAGTGGCTATAAAAGAGCATTCACATCAGTTTAAATGTCCATATGACATGTTGAGCAGGTTAATGGTAACTATTCAATTTAGAAAACAAATGTAATCTCATCAAAATAAGAAATATGAAAATCCTGTGTCACAATTATATTTATATGTGTGTGTATGTGTGTGTGTGTGTGTGTGTGTGTGTATCCCAAATCAGAAGACCCATGGATTATTTTTAAAGTGGTTTCAGTTCTATCTGGTATAAAAGCCTATGAAACCTATAATCCTCTGATATCTCTGTGGCCAACAAAAGAAAAAAAAAACAAAAAACAAAGAAAGAAAAGAAAAAAGGAAGAAAAAGAAAAAAAAAGAGTACAATTGCTCCAAAAGGAATGACCAGAAATAGGTAGCTGTCATTTGTTTTGATAAGTCTTGGGAGGTTCTCTGTTATGTCATGAATACATGTCCTAGAAAGACAGTAGCTTTATTGTTGTTAACAAGTTGACAAACAGCTCCCTTGACCCTGAATAGGGAAATCATCAACTACCACTGTTTCTAGTTTTCTCTAGCTAAAAGAGGCTCTAGCCAGAACCATATGCACGCCCTAGACTATAGTTCTTAGAATGTACTCTCACTTTCTCCAATATGCATGAACAACATATAAACACTGAAAAGTTCAACTTTTAGGGAGAGGCAATGTGACATTATGGGAGGCTGCTACTCAAATATAAAGAAGGTTAACTAACATATTAAGGATATGTTGCTGTTTTTGTTTGTTTTAGAAAATTAAAGAAAACTCACAAGGAATCATACTTTCAAAGTACTCTACACATTTACAGAATTGAACCCTCTGTTCATGCTAGGAATGCTCTTTCTCCTCTCCTTCACCTTCTGGTTTATTTCAAAGTTCAGTACTAATCCACCTTCCTTAAAAGGCCCTTCCCAGACCTCTCTCCTAGCCCCTCCCCCCGACTCATCCCTTGCCTCTGAGATTACCTCCCTTTTATATCATATGCATTTCGTACACATATAACTATTTGCATATTTTCTCCTCCATTAGAATACGACCTCTTTGAAGGCAAGGTCTGTTTGTGGGGTTTTTTTTGGTTGTTGTTATTTTGTATGTGTGTGTCCGTGTGTGTTTGTGTGTTTCTGCCTTTCTTTGTATCTCCAGCACTATATAGAGTGCCAGACACCTAGTAAATGCATGTTGATTGATTGTATCCAGACTCCCTTTTCTTTAATCTTCTTAACTCTTTCCCAAGATACTTAAGCATTCAAGGAGTGGTAGGAATTGGTGATTTACTGATAGACTAGAGCCAAAGGGTCAGAAGAAGAGAATAATAGCAGTCTAAGTGATAATTGAAGCAATTATTTGTCAACCTAACAACAATAGAGATATCTATTGTCTCCTGGGGTATGTGTCCACGATATAATAGAGAATATGTCACAACTAATCAAAAACAAATGATAGCTACCTACATTTGGGTATTCACATGAGCATACTTCAAAAAGGAACATAAAAAATATCATCAGCAAAGTAAAGGTCTTGGGTAAGTAAACTTGGGTAAGAAAGTCTTGGGTAAGAAACTGAAGACCACAGAAACACAGGTTGCATTTTTCTTACTGCTGTCCACTGAAGTAAAGGGAGGCAGAAGAGAAAAACAAATTTGGAAAGAGGAATAGTCAGCTAAGAAGGTTATATCTGAGAATGGGATTTTTATTTCTGGATTATGATTTATAATGGATACAGAGATGACAATTTATTGACAGTCATAGATTACACCTAATAGAGTCTAAAGATATTTGTCAAGTATCTTCCCCCAAAAAAGGGCTTTAAAATAAAAGGGATGGAGGATTAAGACTGTCTGTGTATATCCTCCAAGTTAGATGGTTCAGAGTGTCCACAAAAGGAAAAGAACAGTAACTGAGATACCCAGAAATTCACAGGAGAAAAATTCCAAGGAGAAGCACTAGTAGTAAAATTCAGGACTTCAAATGTCTATATGTAAATGCCTAAAGTTTAAGAAACAAAGAGAACTAAAGGTCTTGACAGTGGAAATAAAATTTGACTTCACAGATATCATTGGGACTTGGAGGGATGAAACCCATGCAGGGATCATAATTGTTTCAAAAGAAACAGAGTAGATTAAAGGGAGATGAGGTAGCATCGTATATTAATTAGATGAAAAAATCTAGGAACCAAAGGAGGGGAGCATGATGGGAGGCATTTGGTAAAGGAGGGAGATCAGAAAAAGTGTACAAAAGATCAGAAGCAAGGCCAGATAACAGAGGACTAATGTAAAAGCATGGCAAAAGTTCCATGAACTGTGTCAGAAGTGCTAAAGTTCAGAATGAGCTGATGTTGGCAAGGGAAGCTTAAGAACAGATTATTTAATAGATAGTTGGTGAGTGTCTAGAAAGGAAGCAGTGATTACAAAGAGTCAACCTGGCTTCATCAAAAATAGGCCATGTCAGGCTACCCTCATTTCCTTTTTTGACAGGATTATTAAACTAGTAGATAAGGAAAATGCCCTAGTTATAGTTTGCTAATATTTTTTAGCAAATCTTTAAATAAAGTGTCACACTGTCCTTGTGGAGAAGATGCAGAGCCATAGATTAAGCACAATATAATTAGATGTATACAGAATTGGTTGAATGATTGAATTCAAAGAATAGTTGTTATTACATGGTAAGTCTCCAGTGGAGTTCTCCAGGGATCTGTGTTTGGTCCTGTGCTATTCAGCATTTTTATCAATGACTTAAATAAAAGTATAGGTGGATATTTATCAACTGCATAGATGACACAAAGACAGGAAGAATAGTTAACACATCCAATGACAGTCAGGTTCCAAAAGGTTCATGACAGAGCATTTTGGCTAAATCTTATAAAACAAAATTCAGTAGAAATAGATGGAAAGTCTTATAATTGGGTGCCAAAAATCAATTTCATAAATACAAGATGGGGAAATATGCCTAGATAGCAGTTGTTCTTAAGAAAAAAAAAAGGACCTAGGGATTTTGAGTCATCGAAATGATGTTACAACCAAAATTTAAAAAAAAAAAAAGCTAATACAATCTAGGGCTACTTTGAGAGAGGCACAGTTTCCAGGAATAGGAAATGAAAGTTCCATTGCCTTCTTCCCTAATCAGATCCCATCTGGAGTATTGCATTTAGTTCTGAGCTCCATAGTTTAAAAAGAACATTGAGGAACTTTACAATGTCCAAGGAGCAACTAGGATGATACAAAACTCTGAGTCTATGTCACATGAGGATCAATTGAAAAAAGAGGAATGTTTAGTCTTGAGAAATAAAGACTCAGAGAGAAGAGGAGGGGGATGGTAATAGTTTTAAAATATTTGCAGAGTAGTCATGTGGTTGAGGGATTAGGCTTGTTCTGTTTGTTCTGAGAAGACAGGAAGAAGAGGAAAGAGAGGAAATTGTAAAGAGGCAAATTTATACTTGACATCAGAGCAAAACTTCCTTATAATTAGAGCTGCCCAAAAGTGAGAGGGGCTGCCTGGACAAGTGGTGAATACCACTTCCTCAGAGATCTTGAAGCAGAGGTTGGATATGGTATAGTGGAAATTCTTTTCAAGTTTGGAGTGGACTAGAGGGCTGCTCAGTTCCTATGATTCCAGGATTTACTTAAAGTATGACAAAATTTAGATAGTTAAATAAATGTTTAGTTCCAAACTTTGCCCACTGAATACGTTCATGAAATGTGATTATTTCCTAATAGCATGGCCTTTTCAAGAAGCCAGAAACTCCTCTACATGTTGAATTCCATCAGATATAAAGAGGTAGAAACAGTCAAGTACCAATGCTTATTTCTGCAATGCTTTGAAAATACAAGGACTAATTTAGAAATACATATATTGGTGGGGGTTTTGTTTATGTTTTAAGAATCATTGGGTTTAGGGCAGGAGTTTGTTTAGGACAAGAGGTCCATGAACTTGGTTGAAAGAAAATTACGTGTTTATTATTTTCATTAACATCTAAATTAAATTTATCATTTTCTTCAATTATTTAAAAACATTATTCTGAAAAGTCTATAGGATTTACCAGACTCCATCTATCTCTCTCTCTCTCTCTCACACACACACACACACATGCGCGCGCACACACACACACACACACACACACGACCTTCTGCTTTAGAGGAAGAAGAATCATCTAACCCAAATGTCTCCTTTTACAGATAAGGAAATTTAGGCTCTTGGAGGTCAAGTGACTTGCTGAAGTTCATATAGCTAATCAGAAGCCAGACTAGAATCTGAAACCATGCTCCACGATTCTAAATTCAATGATTTTTCCACTGCTGTCATGTTGTCTCTCAGAAAATTACTTGAGAAAAGGCCATGACACTCCTCAACAACAGAGGCTTCCAGCAACTTGGGGGACCTTAATAGAAGATTGGTTGAACTTTATTTCAGGTTGGGGTGCCATAGCTACTCTTCCTAAATTCCTTTGGTCAAAACTATGAGAGTACTCTATGAAATTTTCTGAAACCTAGATAAACTGATTTGAGAAATTCTTGCCCTGGCTTTTGAACTCTACTAGTTTGGAATTCCATCAAGCTTCCCAGAAGGGAAAGAAAAAATATGGTTTCCCTTTTACTCTGGAAACCCTTTTCTTCCTCCTTTAGCACTTGCAAAGCCTCAAAAGAGTCAAGGCTTCCTAATTATATACCCAAATGCTAAGGAAGCCTACTTAAAACTAGAAGTTGACCTGGAAAAGCCTCTGAATGTTCTCAATATTGAACTGGAATAGTAAAATCACATTTCTTGAAACAAGTAAATATAACCTTAGAAGACATTCATGGATCGTACTTTTCTTGTCTATGCTAGACTGGATCAGTTGCTAAAACTGAGAAAATGCATGATTTAATTACATCAGTTAATGTCATATTGGCATAATGATTCTGGCTATGAAGGACTGGAAGTCATTCACTAATTAAGATGAAACGGTTCATAAACACATAGACTGGAGGAGTGCCTATATATGACTGAGAAACACAGATTTTTACACTTTATCTAAACATTTGTTTTATTTCTGTAGATGCCAAAGTTCATTTAAGTGAAGTCAATATGACAAGTTTTAGATTTTCCAAGCTATGATTTTTTTTTCTTACCTTAATAACAGATAAAATGCCTTCATTGGTTTGGGGGTCTGTCACAATCTGAAAATTTTTATTTCCATTGCCTTTTAAAATGGTATAATTAGCTCTCCAATTAGCAGTGTTAGGCAAATCCTTATCTTCTACAGCTATTCGCAAAATATTCCTCTTGATTGTATTTTCTTCAACTGATGTTTCATACTGAAATAAATAAAAGTCTCATTAGCAATTTTCTTTACAAAGAGAGAAAGCTATGTTAAGGGCAGTGAAAGTTCTCTTCACTCCCCCAACTCCAAGAGCACTTGATATCACAGTTTTCACAAATGTATTTAAAACAAGGAATTCAAATGGTCTGGTCATTCAGGGTCATTTTTAAATAATGCATTTAGAGTAAAAATTAGTCTATGTGACAAAAGAATACAATCTTCATGCTAATCAAAGTGATAAAGCAGTTTTCTTCTTATGTATATCAGCCATCTAAGCTTTCTTTAATTTTACTTGGAAGAATTTGAATAAGGATGCTACTCATTTTGTAATTTTGTGTTTGTTTTTCAGAAGTTAAACATTATATTGACTCAGACGACATGATTCATGGTAAAAGAAAAATTAGATGTTTCAATTGGATGTAATCCATTTTATATTAAATAAGTATAAGCACTTACCATAGGCTTTGTGAAAGTGGGAGCATGGTCATTCACATCTTTTATTGAAATGATACAAGTTGATGTATTCATCAAACCAAAAAATTGACCATCCATATCTTGTACTTTCATTTTCAACTTGTATTTGTCTACTACCTGAAACCAAAAATAAAAATTCAATTGTAGGAGAAAAGCTAATGTTTGTTCATATTCTTAGACCATTTATCAAATGGGAAATGGGTCTGTTTTCTTATAAATATGAATACATTTCTTATAAAACTTGGAAATGAGACTTTTATCAGAGAAACTTGCTGTACAAATTTTTCCTAGTAATCTTAGCTTCATTAGATTTGTGTTAAAACTTTTTTTTTAATTTTATGTATCGAAATTTATACATTTGATCTTTTATGATACCCTATACATTCTTTGGTCATGGATTTTTCTCCTTATCCCTACATCTGATAAATAACTTTTTCTGTTTCTTTAATTTATTTATGATGTAACCTTTTATATCTAGGTCACATGTCCATTGGGAGGTTATCTCTGTATGTGGTGTGAGGTATTGGTCTAAATCTAATTTCTTCCACATTATTCTCCAATTTTCCCAAAAAATTTTTGTCAAATATTGAGTCCTTATCTCAGTAGCTAGGGTCTATGTTTATCAAATAGTAAGGTATCAGACACACATACTTCTGTATGTTATATACCTACTCTGTTCCACTGATGAATCTCTCTTAGCCACTATCAAATTGTTTTTAAAAATAACTACTTTGTAGTATAATTTGAGATATGGCACTGATAGGCACTGGTGGACCCTCTTTGTTTTCATTTCTTTTCACCATTTCTTTGAAGTTCTTGACCTTTTTTTTCTCCATACAAATTTCAATAATATTTTTCATTCTAAGTTATAGATATATTATATTTATCATTTTAAGGAAACGATCATCTATTCCTTTGAAAATTTCTTTTTAAAGAAATTAACAAAATTGAGACAAAAAAAGAATTAATAAAACTAGAATTTTTTAAAAGATAAGCTATGAATTAACTTGATTAAAAAGAAAGTAGAAAATTAAATTACCAATATCAAAAATAAAAAGGAAAATTCAAAAGAAATGAAAAATGAATAAAAATTATTAAAATCTAATTATTCAACTACATGCCAAATGAAGTAATGAATATTTACAAAAATATAAAGCATCCAAATTAATGAAAGAAATAGAGAACTTAAACAACCCAATTTCAGAGGAAGGAATTAAACCAAACTTTGGCTTTGAAGCTTGGGCCTTCCATGCATCCCTCTTCACCCTAACTTCTCTTCATTTAATTTTGATTCATACCATTTTTTTTCTGAAATGTCTACCATCTCCCAGTACCTAATAGATCAGAAAGGTCTTTCTTTTCCTTCATCTAATTAGGTTATAAAAACCCATAGAAAGGAAAGTATTTCCATGACTAACTAGAAAGAATAAAAACAACAATTGGACTCTTGCTTTCATGTGACTAAAAATATAATTCTAATATCTTCTTCAATTTACCACCTCCTTATGTTGCACTTTGGCATCTATTTTTACACAACATGGCTAAATCGTTTATTTAAACCTACACGGCCAAAGTTTGTCAATTGCCTTTATGCCCTTTGATTCAGACTATGGTTGATGACATCACAAAGGAGAAAAAGTACTGACTGTGGAGTCAGAGAACAATGGTTCAAATCCAACCTCTAAAGCTTACTACCTATTTGAGCTTAGGCAAGTCACTTCACTTCCTGGAACTCAGTTTCTACACCTCTACAATGAATAGTTTGCACTAGGTGGCATAATGCTACTTTGTTTTACATGATAATTTCCCAATGGTCTATTCACATGATTTGTATAGCACATAGCACAGCACCATATATGTAGGAGGAAAGGAGAGAAGATACCTTTCTGATCTATTGGGTACTGGGAGATGGTGGACATTTCAGAAAAAAAGGTATGCATCAAAATTAGATGAAGAGGAAAAGAGTTGGGGTGAAAAGGGAAGCATGGAAGGCTGAAGTTTCAAAGTCAACGTTAAAGGTCTTGCTTTTGTTCATAATGCATTGGGAAGTTTTATAGTAAGCTCCTATAACCGCAGATATTTTTTTCCAGTAAAATATGTGAAAGATACTTTCAAATTTTAAACCAGCAAAGTTAATTATTAAATACTTTTGAATGATATTATATGTTCTAAATATTAAAATAGCAAACTACATACTAAGTTAAGTTATTCATTTGCAGCACAGAGCTAACGTTTCCTCCCCATAATCTTCACTCTCCTTGATACCCTGTTATATTGGAAAGGACTGACCAGTCTCTTGACCACCATTCATATACTCTCCTGTTCCTCCTCTTTGAAAAATCTCTCTGCCTCTTTCCTCCTGCCTCTGAATTTTCCTCCACTGTCCTTAATGTGAATGTTCCTTACAATGAATTATCTACGAAAATTTTTTACTGAAGCTCCTGACCTTAAACATATCTAAAACTGAACTGTTCTTGTGAAAACTGCTACCTTCTTCAAAACACCAAAACCTCAAAACCATGGATCTTTGACTCCTCCTTCTTCTTTGTCCTCTTAAGTAATCAGTTTCCAGATCCTATTAATTTATCCTTCATTATGTTTTAAATCTCATTTTTATTTCCACTGCCATTCTGATTGTCCAGAACCTGATGAATGTAAGTTTATTTCTACTATGCCAGATTTTCAAATAATCTGAATCTAGACTACTCTAAGTCTCCTAAATGTTCCTATCTCTACACTCTTCCCTCTTCAATTAATCCTATATATTAGTCTTCCTAAAATACTCAACACACATCCTGGTAAGCAGGAATGTTTCTATCATACTTCAAAGTCAATAAGATACAATTCAAACTCTTTAAAGTGGCACTTAAAACTCTCCACAATCAGAACCCAATCTGCCTTCTACCTCATTTCTTATATACATTCTGCCCTGGCTAGACTCCTATCTGACTACTGTCCTCTAAATATAGGGGATTCATTACTGCTTACCACTATGGTTTCTGTCATATGCCCCACCCTGATTCCTCCCATACAAACCCTATGTAGTCCTTGTGTCAGGGTGTACCTTTCCTTGAAAGTTGTCTGACTCCTATCCTATAATGGCTTCTCCAACTAGAACTTAAAGATTTTATACATGAGGAAACTGAAGCAAATAGGATTAAGTGACTAGCCCAAGGTCACACAGCTAGCAAGTGTCTGAGGCCAGATGTGAATTCAGGAAGATGAGTCTTCCTGACTCCAGGACTGACACTCTATTCATTGCACCATCTAGCTTCCCAGAACTTACTAATCTTACATTTATTCAATATATAATCAAATGCTACAATAAAATGAGATAATATACATAAAGCACTCTACAACCTTAATATGCTATATAAATGCTAACATAATTATTATTGAAAAAAATTATCATTTTTATCCACTACATCATCATCCACTCACTATTATTCAGCCCTTTGTAATCAAGTCTCTATGCCTTCTTTTCAATTTTTTCACTGAAAGTCACCGAAGACAACACAAAACTGAAAACAAGGTAGATGCCCATGGATTAGAGAATGGCTAAACAAATTATGGCATATCAACATAATGGAATATTATTGTGTTATAAGAAATGATGGGGCAGCTAGATGGCACAGTAGATAGAATTCCAGGCCTGGAGTCAGGAAGATTGATCTTGAGTTCAAATCCAGCCTTGGACAAGTACTAGCTCTATGATCCTGGGCAAGTCACTTAACCCTGTTTGCCTCAGTTCCTTATCTGTAAAATGAGCTAGAGAAGGAAACGACAAACCACTCCAGTACTTTTGCCAAGAAAATCCTAAATGGGTTCACAAAGAGTTTGGCTGAAAAATAACTGAACAACAACATAAAAAATGATGAGTGTAGGGGCATCTAGGTGGTACAGTGGATAGAGCACTGGCCCTGGAGTCAAGTGAGTTCAAATCCAGCCTCAGACACTTGACATTACTAGCTGTGTGACTCTGGGCAAGTCACATAACCTCACTGTGTAGCCAAAAAGAAAAAAAAAAGGGGTAAGTATGATAACTACAGGGAAACATGGAAAGACTTGCACAAACTGATGCAGTGAAGTAAGCAGAGAATAATATACACAACTACAACAATTTAAATGGAAAGAAACACCACGAAACAATAAAAAGCATGTGTTGAAAAATTATTAAAAAAAAAAAATTACGGCCTCAAAGAAATGAGAAGACATCCCATCCCTCATCCTTTCCAGAGTGGGGGAAGGTCCACAGGTATATTGCATATATTTTCAGTTTTTTTATATATATATAGATTGGTTTTGCTAATTTTTTTTCTCTTCTTCCTCTTTTTCTTTTAAAAAATATTCTTTATTATATAAGATAGCTCTCTGGAAGAGGGGAGGAGAAATAAGATGGAGGAAAATACAAACAAAAAAATCAATAAAATGTTATTTAAAATATAATTAAAAGTCACAAAAAGGTTAACTCAAACACCTTCTCGTTACAGCCATTACTGTAAACTAACTCTCTATCCTCCTTCTCATTCTGTACAATAATCCTCTCAAGATATTTAGTTGCCATATTGTACCATTATCAAGATTATAACCCACCAGAACCCTCAGATCCTTTTCATGTTTAGCCATTATTCCCCCATATTATGAAGTTCTGATCAAAATGTAGAATTTTTATGTTTATCTTGATTAAATTATATCTTAATATACTTAGCCCAATTGAAGGCTATCCATCAGGCTATCTTTTTTCTGATCATCATTTATTCAATGTGTTAGCTAGCTCTCCCAATGGTGTGTTATCCACAAATATGGTGGGCACTGTTATCTCATTTGAGAAAACCTAATTGGAAGAGATGGCGGAAGAGAGAGAGAGAATACTATTCTTCCTTCTCTTCCTCCTCCTCATCATCCTTATCTTTCTCTAAAGAAATCATAACTCTCTGAAGAGATGACATTATTTTTTCTATCCACCACAATGCCAGGACATTGCAATACAAAGAGTTAGGGTTCAATATATTGTTGACTGAATTATTACTTTTGCTTTTGATTACTTTTTGTTTGGAAAAAATGTCTATTGTGATTTAAGGGCTGAGTGGTAATAATAATAATGATGAGGTTGATGATGATGATGATAATAATACCTTTTTATTAAAAGATGCTACATGTATTCTGAATCCTACTTTCAAGATGAACAATCAGCATGTGCTGATCCATCACCCACATTCACTCTGCCAGTTCCTTTCATAACCAAGAGCACATTTTTCAAACCAGCTCATGGAGGTTAAGGGTCTGGACTGGTTTGGGCTGTAGCCCTGCAAAAAGTAAAACAAACTGACCTGCACTAAGATTTGAGCCATAACCATAGTTTCAGTTTCAACTGAACCCATGAAAAAAATAACCTTTCAATCCACAAGAAAAATCAAAATGACAGTTTCAAGAATGCTTTTAGCAAGCCAGTCCCACTCTTCCTCTTATATTACTTCACAATGTTCTTCCATCTTTTGGTAACTAACCCCCAAAATATCATATTCCTTTCTCTTCATGGTACATCCCACACAATTAAAATGAAGTAATAAAAGAACCAGCTTAAATAAAATATGAAAATCATAAAATATATCCTCTCACTGCAATCTCTTTTACATGATCTTGACTTTGGCCAGCACTTTTTTTCCACATTTCAGCTAAAAGGCATTTCTTTAAATTGGAATCATGTTTAATAATACTTTTTAGTGAAGTTTGACACAGCAATTAGATGTTATGCTTCAAAGTTACCTCTCTGTCCAGCTGATGTGATATTGTAGTGATCACACCTGAAACTGGATGCACTGAAAATAATTTAGGAGATGGTGGCTGTTGTTCCATAATAGAGTACTTCAGGCGAGTATGCATGGTATCAGGTTCATCTCTATCTGTAGCAGATACCTTCCCCACTGTGGTGCCTATGTATTTGGAGAAAAAAAAACCCTCTTCAGTATCTACAAAAAATATAACCTTATGCCTCTCATCTGTATGGTTTTATCCCAAATAAGGTAGCTTCAACAAATATTATTTTACCTTAACACTATTCAAGTGTTATAACCAAACCACACCAGAAATTCTCAAAATTTTGCTGGAACACCATTGGACAATGATTTATTATTTCCATTGAATCCACTATTCCTATCATAGCACTTGACATAACATTACATTTTCATAGAACTAATTCATGTTATCAGGGAGGGTAGACCTATACTTAGAAAACTTAGGCAAATATGAGGAAAAAACTGATAAATAATTCTGAAAGGAAATAACTTTAAACATTTTGATAATATTTTCCTAAATATGGATAGGGAATAGATCTGTGATTTAATTGGCCTAGGCAACTCCCAAATTAGGAAACTCATTCCACCTATGCCGGTTGGTAGTTTCTCTTCAATTTATAGTATTAGAGTTGCCTAAATCACTGAGAGCTTAAGTGTCTCATACAAAGTCACATAGTCAGCATGGATCTGAGACAAAATTTAAGATTAGGTGTTACTGGCCACAAGGTCAATTATTTATGCCGTGATGACAATCACAAATTTTCACAAAGAATTTAAGATATTTTTAAAAGTCACCAATTATCAGATAATAACTATGTACTGAGCAACCACAGTGCATTCTATTTTATTCACAGTTCAAACTATTATATAATTAATTTCCAAAACTGTGTATTTTGTCTACAATGTTATATTGTCAGGGAATGAATTGAATTATAAAATCAAAATAATAGAAAGATTATGAATCTAAGAGATTACAAATTTTCTTTTATAACTTTGACAACTTTTTTGATGGTGGCAAAGAATTGGAAATTGAGGAGATAGCCATCAATTGGGGGAAACATGAACAAGTTGCAGCATATAATTGTAATACAATGTTATTGTGCCGTAAGAAGTAACATGCAGGATGGTTTCAGAAAAATTTATATGAACTGATGCAAAGTAAAGTGAACAGAACCAAGAGAACATTGTACACAGTAACAAGAATATTGTAATGATCAACTGTGAAAGACTTAGCTACTCTAATCAATACAATGATCCATGACAATTCCAAAAGATGCTATCCACTTCCAGATAGAGAACTGATGAACCCCAAGTGCAGATTGAAGCATTATTCACTTTATTTTTCTTGTTTTGTTTTGTAATATGACTAATACAGAAATATATTTTTCATAAATTCAGGTGTATAATGAGTATCATTTGCCTTCTCAACGGGTGGGGAAGGGACTAGAGAATGGAAAGAATTTGGAACTCAAATTTTTAAAAATAACAGAAAATTTTTAAAAAACAAAAAAGTAATGAGTTTGGAAATTTATAATAGGAATTTAGATAAAATCCACATCATATTTTTTTTTAATTTAGGTAGTAAAAAGGGTAGGGGAGATAGGCCAATCAGGAAGAGTAAATTTTCATTAAAGTAACATCTTGCTAAACCGTCAGGGACAGTTAAGTAAGCAGATGGAAAATACAACATAAATAATGGCTAAAGTAGATATTTGGGTTTTTGGTTTAACCACTGATTTATAGCAACCTGATTTCACCTAATCCTCTTATTCCTTCTTGCAGGGGCTAACAAACACTAGCAACAATGCAAAGAAATTAGAGAAGCAATAGATCTGTTTAAAGCAGAAATTGTATGGTCAAGATTAAATAACTGATAGCTGCCTATTGAAGGAATTCCTTTAGAGTAGGCTTCCATTGAATACCAAGTGGAAAAAATATGATTTAATGCTGTACCAAATCAATATGAAACTTGGTTGCTTAAAAATTACATTTAAAGAATACTCAAACTGAGCAAACTTAATATTAATTATTATTAATAATGTGCTTACCAACTCCACAGCCTTCAAGAACCTCAAAATTATAAACTGTTTCTGTGAACATTGGGTAGTTGTCATTTTCATCTTCAATTTTGATGGTAAGTGTCAAAGGAGAATCTGCATAATATCCATCTCGAGTAGATGCATAGGCATTTAACTATAAGAGAAGAGAAAAATGTAAATTAGATAACAATGAACCAAATTTGGAGATGTTGTCTTGACATTCCTTATTAAATCATTTTCATCACCACAACAAAGCACAACTAACAGAACATGAAATTGGAAGTGGCATATCAACCACAATAAGAGATATCAGGCTATTTTTAGAAAGTGTTGCACTTCAAATGTAAACTAGAAATGAAGAGGGGAATTCCAGGGGCCAATTAGGTCTAGTATAGTAGGATGAAGAATGACATTTGAGGTCAGGAACTCTATTGCTATTCTAAGCTCTGCCCATACTCAGCTACATTATGCTGGGTAGGTCAATTGAACACTTGAATTATCTAGCTATATTTCCTATTGGTTCATTTATATAATGTACCCTGGAATCTTTGTGATAGAAACAAATTTGCAAATAAAATATATCTTTTGAAATTGGGAAGAAAGTAGGAATAACATAAAGAGAATGAACATACAACTAAGAAAAAGAAAATATAGTTTTCTGTATTTTGGAGAGCTCTTTATTAATGTGGACATAGACCCTGTTTTATCCCATGACAGTCCTAGCAAAACCAAGGTGAAAGAGAGATGGATATTTATAACTCAAACTGACAGCCGTGTTCAGATAGCGAAGCAGAAGATATTTAACTATAATATTAGTAAGGAAACTTCTCGACCAAACAGAAATTCCTATTCCCAAAGCAGTGGGAGCAACTAAGTTTATTAGTTGGAGATGACAGGAGAGGAAGACAGCACACAAAGGCAAGGTCAACTAGCTTCTAAATTAAGAACAAAAAACATAAAGCTTTGTTTTAATATATTGCAACAAATTATACAGCATCTAGAATGAAGACAAGAAGTGGAAAGAATACCAAAGAATGAATAGAGAAAGAAGGAAAAGAAAAGGAAAAGGAAAGACAATACCATATAGGGATTCCCATTAAAGATTCCTATATTCCCTACAGAGATTCCCAGTCTCTGCAATCCTACCCCATGGAAATTCCTGAGTGCTTCTTTTAGTTCTAGTAAACTATCCTGGGTAGATCAATTCTGATTAGCCCTGAATACCCTTCCCCAAACAACTGCCAAAACTTCCCCCACAAACTTATTCAAAACCCTCATAATTTGGCCACCCACCTGGCTCTGTTAAAACAACCCCAAAATTTCTTCCCCACAATAGACCATGTCGCCTCCCACATCACCCTCCTGACACCATTGGATCTCTTCGAGAATGAAGGACAAATGACTATCTGTGAATAGTAGTAGTTGCCCCACCAGGGACTCAACTGGTCTTTTCCAGTTGGGCAATACTGCTTGCTTGCTTCTTTCCTTGCTTCCCTCTCTCTCTCTCTCTTTTTTTTTTTTTGTGCGAGGCAATTGGGGTTAAGTGACTTTTCCTGAGTCACACAGCTAGTAAGTGTGACATGACTGAGGCTGGATTTGAACTCAGGTCCTCTTGACTCTAGGGCCAATGCTCTATTCACTGCACCACCTGGCTGACCTTACGCTCATCATGCTCCCCCCCTTTCTTTTCTTCCTTCCTCCTTCCCTCTCTTCTTTCCTTTCTTCCTCCTTCCCCTCCCTCTTTCTCTTCTTTCTTTTCTTCCTTCTTTCCTTCTCTTTCTTTTCTTCCTTTCTCTTGCTTTCCCTCTCTTTTTCCTTCCTAGCTCTTCCTCCTCTCCCTCTGGCCTCATAGGAGGACACTTACTTGCGGGTGGTCTGTCCAAAGAAATATAAATTTTGATTGGTGAAACCTTGCAAGATATCTTGGGGTTTACAGGCTAGATTTCTTTTTAGGGACCATGCCTTAAACACAAATTACTCTTGTCATTGATTGGCCAACAACAGGTCCCAGTCCAAGCCTCACTTGGTCACTGTTTGGGTTCTGATGGCTCAAAGTGAGTATAAATAGCAATTGTTTCTGTTTTGGCCAGAAACCTTGAGGGTCTTCCCCTCCCAGATGGATTTTTTTTTTTCTTTTTTGACTAGGTAAATTCTTCTAGGCCATTCTTTACTTTATTTCTTACTTAGCCTTAATCACTGAATAGGCATTGCCTCAGACAAACTGAGACCTGGGAAAGACCTTAGTTTAAAAAGGCCAACATCTCCCACTTCATCGGGGCCACCTCTAGCCATCTTGAACTATACCTTACCACTGGACTCAGATGGCTCCAGGGGAGAAAGTGAGGCTAGTGACTTTGCACAGCCCTACCTCACTTAAATCCAATTCATGTGCAAGTCAGGACATCACCTTTCTGATGTCATTGGTCCTCTTTGAGAATGAAGGACAAATGGGGCAGCTAGGTGGTGCAGTGTATAGAGCTCTGGCCTTGGAGTAAGGAGGACCTGAGTTCAAATCCAGCCTCAGACACATAACATTTACTAGCTGTGTGACTCTGGGCAAGTCACTTAACCCCAATTGCTTCACAAAAAAAAAAAGAAAAAAGAGAATGAAGGACAAATAACATGTCACTTCTAACTCTGAGACTACTCTTTGCAAAGAAATTAAGAGATTAACTCCACTTATTCTCTAGATAACTTTCTCCCTTTAATGTATTCAAAGAAATTCTTTTTTTTTTTGAAGGAAAGATAAAATCTTTGCAATTGATCTCCAATTCTAGTGTACACTTGATATGACACACAGTTTGTAGACTTCTTTTAGATATCATATCACCTAAAAATCCTTCAAAGGACCAACAAAAAAAGTCATAATCCTTAGCCTGGCATTTAAGGGCCTACACAATGTTGGCTCCAAGCTCCCTTCCCAACTTTATATTTTTATGTTTTCTGGATGACAAACTGGCAAACTTGATGTTTGCCAAACTTGAACCAGTCTCCAACCTCTACACTTTTGCTCACATTCATAATTAAAATACAGTTTTCCATATCTACCTGTTGAAATTTTTTTCATGATTAAAGACTAAACTCAAGACACCACCTTCCTTCCCTTACCTCAAAACTCATTTGCTTTCTACTCTGCATTTTACTCTATTATATTTTTTATATCACTTCCCTATCTCTCCATTTAGATTTCAAGTTTCTCTGTTACAAAGATATTATCTAATTTTATGCTTATGTCTACCATTCAGTTTGATTTATTGAATTTCTGTTTTTGCAAAATACGTTTTCCCATGTAATAACTTCCTTGACTTTTCCAATTAGCCAAAGACTATTTCATTTTAGTTGGAAAATATGGCCTTTTTATCCTCAGAATATGTTAAAAGCTATCATTATTATCATTTGTCCTATTTTCCAATAAGTATTTTTAATAACCTCCATTTTAAATTCTTAACTTTTCCGTTAATACTCACTATTAAATAATTGAGCAGTAAATATCTTAAGTTTTACCTTTCCTATGAGGATGATTGATGTGTTGTACTGTAACATAATTGACAGCTTCAAAATCAAAAGATTCTGTCTGCTAAAATGTCATCGCCATTTCATGATTTTTTTATAAACGACAAGTAGTACTGATATCGCTGCTAAAGTTCTAGTTGTATTGCAGTTTTACAACTAGAGAAATTGTCCTTGATATTTGAGAACACGTCCTAAAAAGTAGAGCTATATCAAATTGAATGAGCTGCCTCAGGAGTTACTCAGTTCCCTTTTACTGAAATGCCCATTTGAAGAGTATGTTATTGAGGAGTTACTTGAGTTGAACTAGATTCCTTCCAACTCAGAAACTTTGAAATAAATTGATTTTGTAATAAGAGGGTAAGAATGTTAAACAAATACTTAATTGCATTTTTAAAGTTATCAAAGGCTAGGTTAAATGAATTCTTACTCTTCATATTGACACTAAAAGATGGCATAATTGCTTAAATTTTAACATTTCTTTGGTCATAGTTTTGTCTGTTCATCAAGAAGATCTCAAAGCAACTCATGATAAATAAACATTCAATACCCTAACAAAACTGTGATACTTAAATACCTCTGATTCTAGCTTTATAAACAAGTTTATTGGGTAAACCTTAAAGTTCTTTCACCTCAAAAGATGGACAGTGAGGCAAGTAAACTGGTATCTCACAGGCCTTACTTTATAGTTACCAGAAGTATAATTTTCTACAGCTTCCCTCTTTTGTCTTTAGAGTCCTATGTAGATTTTTTTTCCAATTCTTTAAGCACTGTTGTTGCCCTTCTCAGGGCTTTTTCCAAGTATTACTCAGATTGTTAATTCTAGATCTCCACTTGCTCTACAGAAAATAAGAGAAAATGTAGTCCTATACAGAATTCTTTTTAGTCACATGCAAATTAACTTCTCAATTTAAACATGATGGGATTATAGCTTCAAAGGCCTCCGAGTCTAACTCCTTCATTTTACAGCTGAGGAAATTAAGGTTTAAGACAATGACGTGTTTTGTTCTAGATTACATGAAAACTGAGTTATAGAATTAGGAATTAGACCCAGGTCCTTTTGACTCTAAATACACTCAGTTCTTTTAACTATACAATATAGCCTCGCTAGAGTTAAGGCAACTGGCAGCAGATACAAATTTCTAAGAGAAATGAACATTAAAACCCATTCAGAGCATAATATACCAAAAGGATAGCCACACTGAGAAAAAAAAAAGATTGAGTACGAACAATGAGCAACAAACAGAATGATCCATAAATAACCTCATTAATAATTTAAACTCATACCTCAAAAGCCTCATACGTCTCACGATCTACAGGACCAGTACAAAATAAATTCCCAGTGTCTTCCTCTATATAAAATAATTTGAGGGGTTTCTGGTCAACTCCAGGCCCACTGATGGAGTAGTAAATAGTGTATTTCTGGGCTGAATCAGATTGGATCTATACAAAAAGTAAATAATATATTTGAAAAAGTCAGAATTTAATTATGTTATTTCTTTTGATAAAATTTGAATGTATATGTTGATATACTTATGGTATGGGAAAGAGATAATTTCAAAAATATAATACATATAAGTATCTTCACAGTATAAAGCATAGTAACAGAAACAAGAAGAAATCTAAGGAATTAGCGCTGGATTAAACACACACACACACACACACACACACACAAATAGAATACATGAAATATAACTCCTGAAGTGATGAAGCCTTGTTAAAAATGATAAATATATACAGATTCATTTTTAAATGTCTGAACTGAATAGCTACTGAGAATAAAAACTTTGTAAGCCCAAGGGTGCTTGTGTGGGTGTGTGTGTGTGTAGATTTAAACTCTACCTGTTGAAGAAACAAGGGGAAAGGGCCTAGAGAGTTCTCTGGCATTGAACATGGAATAGGAGCCCATCTCCTCTTGGCACGTCGGAGAATTGTTTCTTTAAATTCTCTTTTGTTCAGCTTCTAGATTTAAAAGAAAAGGACAAAACAATGGCATTTGGTTTCCTAAACATCCAAATGTCCATAAACTCAAATCCTCAAACAATTAGGATTGAAATGGAAATGAAATAGTAGGATGTTAAAGTCAGTCTTTTTAAAACTTTGACTAACATCATCACCAAAGAGAGGCTTATAAAAGATCATTTTAACCCTCATCATAGCAATCATCTTTCTCTAATAACCTGCATGGAAACATGGAAGGGCTAGGTGTTGAATTAGAGTTGGAAAGGATCTGTTAGTTGAGACTGTCATTTTTACAACTTCTTAGGTTTCAGAAATTCTTAATTAAAATTTTCCAAGTGGAATAGGTTTTAAAGACTATGTGAAGTTAAGGAGAAATAAATTGTACTTCCTGGGAACCTCTCAAGATTAATTACCTTTAGTTCTACAGAATGAGGAATCAACATGTAAACCAGAATGTTCACATCTTACATCTGAAGTATTTTTAATCCTTTTTTGTTGTTGTTGTTGTTGAGTTGGAATCTGACTAGATTAAAAGAAAACCACCTTTTATCTACATAGCTCAAATAGAGTCAGCTTCTTTTTTTTTCTTTTTTCAGGGAAACAGATTTTCCCTGAATAATAAGTTAAAGAGTATACAAACTATAGGTGGAGATAAGATTTGGACTCTGGTCTTTCTCTTATTATAAAGTAGGAATATAATCATTTTGAATTCTGTTGATTTAGCTTGTGTAGATAAAGAAGCTATTATTCTTCTTTGTATTTATCACATTATGCCTTTTAATACAGCTATTTGTATAGATGACTTATCACCCTATCTGACTTACTCCTCTGAGAACAAATTTAGCAGGACAATGGGTCTAAGGTGAAGTATAGGATGTCTTTAGTTGCACAGTTAATGACTGCCTGTTATTAGCTGGACAGAACTGAGTTGGGCCTAGAAGACAATGTAATGGCACTCTGAAGAGTAGGCGGAGGACAGTAAGGTATAAAAAGACTGTAAAAGAGGAGGCAGGTTCCGAAGGGCTTTAAAAGTCAAAGGATTTTTTTGATCATGGAAGCAATAGGGAGCCATGGGAAATTACTAGGGGAAGGGGTGGTGTGTGGAGTGACATGACCAGACATACACTTTAGGAAGATCACTTTGATAGCTGAGTAGATAGATAATGTGCTGCAGTGTGAAGAGACTTGAGTTAGGGAAAACAACTAGAGGCTATTTCAGTAAATAATGAAGGCCTGTACCAGGTTGGTACTAGTGTCAGCAGAAAGAAGGTGGTATATACTAGAGAAATTGTGAAGGTAGAATCAATAGAACTTTACAACAGAATAGATATGGTGGGAAGGGGAGGGAAGGAAAGAGAGAAAAAATGGAATTAAGGATGAAACCTAGATTGTGAGTCTGAGGCCTGGGAGGATAATAGCGCCCTTCACAGTAATAGGGATTGTTTAGGAAAGGGAGGATTTCGTGGAAAAGAAAATGAGTTCTGTTTTGGAACCACTGAGTTTAAGGTGATTACAAAACATCCAATTGAAGATATCTAAGAGAGAGTTGGAGATGTAAGAATAAAGGTCAGCAAAGAGAGAGACTGAATAAATAGATCTAAGAATCATCTGCACTGAGATGATAATTGAATCCTTGGAAGCTAATGAGTTCACTAAGTGAAATAGTAAAGAGTGAAAAGGGATAAGGGCCCAGGACATACCTATAACAGTGGACCTTCCCATTGCATCACATGATATGGCATACAGTAACATATGGTAACCAAGGACAAATCAGCACAGAGACTAGCCAGGTGGAATCACAGCAAAGTTTTAGTATCTTCAATCAGAAATCATCTTTTATGATGCTTTTCTGAGCAATGTCCCTCCAGTTTTGTTGCTCCTATCTGGATCAAATTATCTAAGTGAGTGCCTGAAAACTTCTGAGGTCCCCCACTATATTTCCTCCCACTTATGTACCAGTCAAGATTTCATGCCCTATTTTAATAGCAGCACTTTATCAACTCACAATCAATTTGTCCAAGAGGATGCTTAGATCTTATTACCATATTAAATGTGAGATTTTATAATGAAGTAAAAGTAAAAAATGAAGCAATAACAGGACATCTTAATTATCCTTCAGTTTTGGGAGAGGGGTTTTGAAAAGACACCAGTATTTTTCTAATAAAAATTTTTTTAATAAAATTTTTGAATACCTTCTTTTGATGTTCCAATGTAACATTTATATCCTTCTGTTTCTGTTCCTGAGTATTCACAAGAGATATGATAAAAGTCCTCTTCCCTGGAGACAATAAAATTGTATTTCTTGGATATAATGAACCATCTTCTAAAATTCCAAAGTCAGTATCACTTGAATGAATAAGGTTTGGAGACTTCAAGCAATCTTCCAGATTAACTGTATGAAAAAAAAAATTCATGATAATATGAAAATAGAAATAAATTTCTACAGGAATCCAAGTGACTTTGCAAAGAATGATAAATAGAGAGAGAAGAACCTAGTCACATTGGAATCATCAAATGTTCCTACCAATTTTTAAAAAATCATTTGCAAATGGTTTTGAAATGAGATGCACTTCTAAAAAGGAATCCATGTTTTGATTCAGCTATATTTGAGGTAAAAACATATTACTTTGAATAGACAATTATTAGCCTTTCAAATATGCTCTTTTTAAATATTTTCATAAATGAGAATTTTCATCTAAGGACAAAATACTTAAACTATGAGTTGGTATGTGACTTGAAAATATGATTCACCTGAGGAAATTACATTTCTTAAAGATAACACATAACCTACAAGAGATACATGCCCATTATCAGGACCTAAAGTAGTCCCATGAGGCAGCTAGGTTGCAAAGTAGTTAGAGTGCTAACCCTAGGGATGACCCGAGTTCAAATCCAGCCTCAGAAACTTATAAGCTGTGTGACCCTGAGCAAGTCACTTAACCCTGTTCACTTCAGTTTCTGAATCTGTAAAATGAACAGGAGAAGGAAATGGCAAACCACTCCAGTATTTTTGACAAGAAAACCCCAAATGAAGTCACAAAGAGTCAGACACAACTAATTGACTAAACAAAAAGAAGTTCCATACACACTTACAGAAACTGAAGAAAACAGAACAAGCAACAACAACATTGCCTGAACTAATAAATACAAATAAAAACAAATAAGAGAGGGAGCACTGGGTAGAGCATTAGACCATTAAAAATAAAAATTCTGATGAGTGTATGGGCTTCTCCACACTGGCAAGGGGGGAGGGAGGGGAAGGGAAGGTCAAAAAGATTAAGAACCCTCAGACTAGATGGTCTCTAAAGTGCCTTCCACCTATAGATCCATGAGTTCTCCCTCTTCAGTCTTGAGTTACTTCTAGTCCTCTTGCTGTGGCACTATCTATCATTGGAATTCACATTTTAACTGGAAGCGTAACAAGTAGATGTAGAAATACAAAGATAATAACTGAAAAGGAAAAATGCAAAGAAAAAAATCACAACTAGCAGCAAAACCACAGAACAAGATTTAAAAATACAAAATTCAACAAAATTATGAAGACCGGAAGCATTGTCAAGATTAGTTTGACTTTTGTTTGTTTCCAAATAGCACTCTGAATGGTCAGGGTGAATAATTTTATAGTTGTTTTCCATTTTCAAAAAGGGAGCTTAAAGAATGAAGTCTAAACAACAATTTATAGAATATTATGCCATATCTTACCTCTGCCAACAATTTCATTAGCTTCTAGTTTAGTAGGCACATAGAAAGTTACATCATTGCAGGCTTCACAGGGAAAATTCAGGACCTAGAAAGAAAACCAAAACTATTTGAGACAATTAGTCTTGATATAAAATTGTTATTTTAAATTGTGCACAAGAGAATCTTTCAAATTAATATATAAAATTAGATGCCTTCAGCAAAACAAAGTGAAAATATAATATACTTGAATAGCAAGCCTGAAAAAATTTTTGTCTAATTAGTTTAAATTTTACAGTGTGTTCCCAAAGTCCTAGTGCTATTTTTAGCTATTAAACTGCACTAAGACTTGTGATACAACATATTACACACACACACACACAGAGAGAGAGAGAAACATATGTTTGTGTGGAGAAAGGAAGAGATGGGGGAAGAATATATCAGAGTGGTTGCCATGTGAGAAGTGGATGGATATGATAAATATTATAGAGGTACAATTAACAAGAGTTGACAACTGATTAGGAATGTAGAGTCAGAGCAGGGAGTAAAAGAATGACCACAATGTTCCAAATCTGGTTAGCTGAAATGATGGTGTACCCTCTACATAAATAGGGAAATTCAGAAGAGGGATGGCTTTTACAGGAAAGATGACAAGCTCTGCTTTCACCATGTTGAATTTTAAATGTCTACAGGGCTTCAAGTTTGAAAGGTCCAATGAGCAATTTGTGTAGGACTGGTACTCAGAAGAAAGACTAGGCCCTGACTTGTCATCTACTGGATCTGTTAGACTTACTCCAAATTGCTTTGTTTTAAAACACTCAGATTTATCAATGAGGCTGCTAGAAAAAATATACTGCCATCAACTTGCTGCATAATATCAAGGAAATCATTTAACCACTCTTGCCCTCTTTCTTCACATGTAGAATAATCCCTTCTATCTCTAAAATTCTATCAGCTAAGAATGTATAGTTTCTGAAGACAATTTAAAAGATTGGTTCCAAAAAATACATAATATGATCATTTAAGTAAATGTGTAACCCCAAAGTATAATCCTAGGGCAGCTAGGTGGCACAGTAGATAGTGTCTGACCTGAAGTCAGGAAGATTCACCTTTCTGAGTTCAAATCTGGCCTCACTTACTAGCTGTGTGACCCTGGGCAAGTTATTTAACCCTATTTGCCTCAGTTTCCTCATCTGTAAAATGATCTGGAGAAGGAAATGGCAAACCACTCCAGTGTCTTTGCTGAGAAAATAACAATATATATAAAACAAATAAGATATACAACAGCAATAACAAATAATAACATAACCCAAAGTAATCACTTTGGGAAGGATACTACATATCTAGCCAACTAAATTATATGTTTTGTGTTTTTTTTTTCCAAAGGTCATAGTTCCTTGTTGCTCTGTTATCTTTCTTTCCCCCCTTCCCCATGAATATGCACCCACAAAATTTTATTAAAATTTACTGATGATTTTTTAATGGTCTCAAAAAGAAAAAAAAAAAAGAAAGGTCTTCTGTTATTAGAGGAGCCACCACTATGAAAACAGGTTATTTTAAGAAAATCCAAAATTTATGAAACTGATTAGTCAAGGAGAATTATTACATTACAGAAAGGTTATGTTGAACAGTTACCTTTAGTGCATTTAAAATTATTTGAATTATAAATAACTTTTTAAAACCACCTCAAATGAAATGGATAAGATCTATCATATATACACATATATGTATGTGTACATCTCTATAGGTATACATATATGTACATGTGTATATGTGTACACATATATGTACATATGTATACACATATATGTACATACACACATATACAGAACAAACTGGATTATGCCCTGTGAATAGTAATTGGCTAGATTTCATTCTACTACACTTTGACTATATTTTTTGTATTAATTCAACTCTCTATAATAATTTTACAATGTATTATGTGAATAGTCAGTTGAACTATTTTGCTTTGTTAATTTTGAAAATTTATACAATTCAAAGACAAAGTTAGACTCTCCAAGATTGTTTTATATGTATTAAAATGTGATGTTACAGAGAATCACTGTCGGTTTTCTAAAACAAATACTATTTTTAATGGAAGGATTTGAGTATAAAATGGAGGCTACATTGAGTAATTAGACCAAAGTTCTCTGTTGAATTGAGTCACACATGGAGACATGAAACCTAGGTTTTCATTACTCCAATACCAATGGTCTATCCCCTATAATGGGAGGTGGAAAACACTACAATTATGATTAAGTGAACCAGATTAATATGTAATTGGGAAATATTTAGCAAAATAAATAGAAATACAATAGAACACAAATAATATTAATATGTGGTTTTCTAAGTTAACATGCAGCCCTTATGGCATGCTTTCTTTTTCGAGTTTGACATCCCTGCCCTATACCACAAAAATAACAGAGGATAATAATTATTAAGGGGATCAAAAACAGGGTGAGGATAGTTAAAGCTTCATAGACTGGTAGCTTATAAAAATGCTAAAACAATAAAAAAGGTTTTTTTAGCTTTGTTAGGAACAAGATGAAGATCAAAAAATAATTAGGCATCATACTTTGCCTGAATTAGAAGGTAATCACAGATGAAAGAAAATTTAGTCAACTCCCATTTTGTTCCTAGTTTCTCTATTAAAGAGAATAATCTTCTGATAGCAAAAATGGAATAAAATCAAGACCAAGGATAAATAGGATATATAAGAAAATAATTAAAAGCGGGAGAAGGGGAAGGGAACAGGCATTTACTAAGCCATTACTCTGTGCTACCTATTGTGCTAAGTATTTTATTATCTCATTTCATCCTCACAACCACCCTGGGAGGTAAGAATTACTATCTCCATTTTATGATTGAGAAAACTGAGGTAGACAGAGATTTGCCCAGGGTCACACAGGAAGTGTCTGAGGCAGAATTTGAATCAAGATCTTCTTGACTCCAGGCTCAGTACCCTATTCACTGTGCCACCTAAGGTCTTAATTGCTCCTAATAAGTTCAGATCACCTGGCCTAGATAAACTACATCCCCAAGAGAAATAAAGAAAATGACTGTTAAACCGCCATCAGCGACCCACATCCAGGGAGAAGAGGAGAGGTCTGTGAATGGAAAGACCGGAAAGTGTTGCAATTTTCAAAAAGGGAAAGAAGGTATTCACTTCAGATTGTAGGGTGGGGTGTTCAATGCTGATTTCTAAGGAAATTCTAGAAGAGACTGCTAAAAGTACCAATTATACTTAGAAAGGATGAGGTTTACCACTATGAACTGGGATGGGTTTATTAGGGGCAAGTAAATCTGGAAAGTGGTGTTTATGCTATCAGGCATGGTGAGTATATTGAACTATTTTCTTGAGCATTTTTCTTTTTATTTAATCTTTGTTAGTCAGGAAAGCTTGTTGTATAGAGGAAGTAGAGTATTCAAACATTAATATAATATACTAGCAAAAGGCATCAATAACAAAAATGAAATGGAGGCAAAAAAGAGAGCAAACTATGCCAGACTAGCCTCATTTCCTTTTCTACTAGCTTCACTAGACCAGAAACCAAGATAATGCAAGGATATGGTACATGTGGATTTGAGCAAAGCAGTATAGAAAGTATTGCCCCAGATGCTCTTTCTGCAGCATCTAACACTGTTAACCAAATGTATCTCTTGGATATTCTTTTTCTTTTGGTTCTTGTGACAATCTGATCATTCATTCTCAGTCTCCTTTGCTGGACCATCATCCATGCCCTACCCATTAACTAGAGGTGTGTTCCAATGTTCTATCTTGGGGCCTCTTCTATTTTATGTACGTTAACTTGGGGATCTCATTGGCTCCCGGGAGTTTAGTTATTATCTCTATGTAGATAATTCCCAGATCTACAGAGTCAGTACTTGTGTCTCCTGAACTCCAGGTCCATTTACATCACAAACTACCTACTGGACATTTCACACCACATATCCCACCAGCTTATCAACTTAACTCATCTGAGAAAACTTTCCCTTCTTCTGAACTTTGTTATTACTTCTGAGAGCACTACCTTCATTGCAGGTAACCAGATTTACAACCTCGATGATATCCTCAACTTCTCACTCATCCCACATATCCAGTCCATTGCCAAATTTGGTATTTCTATTTCCATGTTCCTTTCTCTATACTCACAGAGCCAATGCCCTAGTTCAGGCCATTTTGATCTGCCACCTGGACTATTACAACAGTCTTCTATTTTGTCTTTCTAAAGTTTCTACTCACTCTAGTCGATTCACTACACAACTACCAAAGTGATTTTGTGCAGTCCCCTTCCACACCACACCACACCCACACCCACACATACACACATACTCAACTGCCAGTGGCTCTATATTATTTCTAGGATCAAAAGTAAACTCTGTTTGGTATTTAAATTTTTCCACAACCTGGTTCCTTCCTATTCTTATACCTTACCTTACTTCTTGTCATGCACTTCATGGTCCATCTGACTTGGCATACTTGCCCTACTTCACACAGAACACTCCAACTCCCATTTTGGTACCTTTGCACAGGCTGTCTGCCATGCCTGGGAAACTTTCCCTTTTCACCTTTGCTTCTAAGAATCCCTGACTTCCTTTCAAGTCTGAGCTCAAGCTACTGCAACCACTTCCTCTGGAAGTCTTTCCCCATGGCCTTAGGTACCACTGCCTTCCCCTCTAAGGTTATCTTACATTTTCTATGTATCTTATGGGAAGAGGGGGAGTCAGTCTTTGATTCCTTTCCCTTAATTAATATATTCATAAGAAAAAAGAAAATATAACAGAGTTAATTATGTACTGATACGTTAATGAAATACAAATTCCTGTTCATGTCCTGATATCCATTTTGGTTAAGAAAACTATAAAGAAATTTTCCTTGATTGACTCGGGAAAGGACAATGCCATTGACTGGAGAGAGATTGGCCACACTCCTAATAGCTGATAAAAGGCTGAGCTCATCAGCTGCATTCAATCCAACAACAAGTTGTTTTTTTTTTAAGCCCTTACTACAGGCCATGAACTCTGCTATGGCTGACAATACAAAGAAGAGCAAAACCAGTCACTCTCTTCAAGGAGCTTACATTCTATGGCAGAGACAACATGTGAATA